GAAGGTAGAACTTGTTCAACTTTATTAAAATTCACAAACTTATATATATATAATTTTTAGGGAACATCTACATTACATTACAAGCAAACTCATTCTAATATGAACATATACTTTCTTTTCTACGTGAATACGCTTTGATTTGAGCGATTATGCTCTTGGCATAGGATCTACATTTTTGTGTAAGCGCATATATGTTCTATTTTAAGTATTTATGTGTTTGCATGAGATAAACCACCAAGCCACTATCACCTTTCTATTTAGTATAACTAATTAAATATTCTTATCATGACTATACTATATGGGTACTGTTATCAAAATGGAATTGGTGGGGGTTAAATAAAACTATATACAAGAAAATAACAAGATAAAACTATAATAAAATAAAAAAATAAAAAAATAAAATAAAAAAAAATATTCATCACACTAGCTAGGGCTATGATTTTTTGCATTTCACAGAATCAGGTCCTAAACACAGAATGTATCAAGGATAGCATGAGATTGTTTCAAAAAATAGAGATTATAATTTTTTTATAAGTATACATGATGCTAAAAAGCTAAAAATATAGCTTCCAAAAATTTTTAGTATAAAAAATAAATAAATCTAAAATACAAGCATGGTTGAGTTAAAAATTTTGCTTAATATCTGAAATTATCTAAATAATAAACAATCAACTTATTGCAGAATATTCGAAGTTTCTATTACAATCAACACAGAATTTATAAATAACAATGCAGAATTTGCAGAGTTCATTTATTTTAATGCACAGAATTTTTGCAAAATTGATTTTGTCACAAATAAAGTTTGCAATTTATCACTGCAGAAAATCATTGACTTTGACCAACATAGCAGATTGGATGATCGATATGAACTGTTATACAATATGTTTTATATATTGGTGTAATGTTTCTTAGTTAAAAAAATGGTTTGGTGGCTACAGATACAAATTAGTAAAACTTGATACCAAAAAAAATTGAAAGAATACCTTCAGATTTATAAACTGTCAAAATAATTTGGTAATTCAAGAAGTAATTTAGAAGTTAGATAAGAGGTAAGTTTGAATGTTTAAGTTTAATATATAGGAGCAATAAGTCAATTAAACTTGACAATTTAATATGTTTTTTACATATTTTATAAACACTTATTTTCTATAATCTTAACTAATATGAAAACCTAATTATAATATAAAAAGAATATGAAGTTATGATTATAAGGTTTATAGATTTCATGAAAAGAGTTAAAGCAAATATGGTATTTTAACTATATAATGTTTATACAAAAATAAATTAATGATCAGTTTAATATTAAAGTGATTACTAAATATTATTTTTTGATTATTTTTATTAGCTATTAATTTCTAGAATAAGTTCAAATATTTATTTCTTGCAGTTTTTGTTTCTGGGCTATTTTTGGGTTATTTTTAGGTTGTTTTTCTTTTCTTTTTTGAATATACTAAATTAGAATTATTTTTTTAATAAAATTTTGGGTTTGTATATGACAAGATTATAGTTTTAAATTTAAGTTATTAAGATTTTATGACAAAGACTTCTGCTAGTTAATTTTATTATAAATCTAGTTATTTTATGCATAACAGTTTTTTTCTTTATAACAATTTAATTAAAATTTAGAACTTTGATTAATTTCGATTAGCCAATAAAATTTATACTATATTATAGGATGATCTACAGAAATTAACCAATTACAATAAAACTAACTATGTTGCCCTAACTATGGCAAGAGTCACATGCTTTAAACAGCCAAATAAAATAATCAAAATATTGAAGATCCTGATCTACATTTTAAAGTAATCTAATTCTATTCAAATTTGCTAATTATTTGCTTATTGAAGATGAGTTCATCGGGAGAAATTTTTTAGTGCTATTCTGCGCAAATTTGCAAAAAAATTAAATAATAAATTAAATAAAAATCTGTGCAAAACTTCAGACTCACTAGCTATAGTCACAGAAATTAAAATGCAGTTTTGTGCAAAATTTCAAAATATAAAAAATTTTGCAGTTTTTTGTAAAAAATTTTGCAAAAATTTGCATTTTCACAGGTTTTTGCAAATTTGCACTTATTTAATTCTCCTGATGTTTAATACTAAAACCCTAATGTAACTAATTTAATAAATTTTACTAATCATGTAATAGGCTAATCAACTACTAAAATTAGTTTATTTTTTATTTTTTGCTTTTTTTTAGTGTTTTTTTTTTTGCATTATTTTTTGGTATTTTTTTTTATTATTTTTTTAGCACTTCTTTTGTCACTTTTTAGTAGTTTTTTGATATTTTTTATAGAGTTTTTTATCATTCTTTATCATTCTTTTAGTGGTTATTTGGTTGTTTCTTTAATAGTTTATTCTTTTTAATATTTTTTCACATTCTTTTTTTTTAGATTAATGTTTTTCTTTCATCACTTTTTTTCTTTTTTTTTCCAGTTTTTTATTGCTTTTTTAGTGCTTTTTTTGCCACTTTTTTGTCACTTTTGTGATAATTTTTTATTATTTTTTGTTATTTTTTAGGTATTTATTTATTTTTCATTTGGGGCTTTTTCATCATTCTTTTAGTATTCTCTTTTAGCAATGCTTTCTTCAGCTCTTTTTACTAAGAATCTAACATTGTAATTTAGTTTGGTTAGGTAGGTAGCATATCTACAAAAGCTGTTTTTTTCTGTAATTTTTATTGAGAACTCAATGTTGTAGTTTTTAGTTAAGTTAGAGTTAGAGTTAGAAAAAGTTTCTATTAATAAAATTTTGCAAAAAGTATTTTAATTAGGTTACAGATAATAGTTTCTTATAAATTTTGTTATTTTTGCTTTTATTTTTGTAAAAAAATTATTAATTTTTTTTTTTTTTAAAAAAAATTCAGCAGTCTTGCCTTTACTTTATTAGGTTTAATAATATTATACTTTGAAATACAGTGCCTGACAAAAGAAACTCCGCATCCATAACTCGGCACAGAGATATAGTAGTGAAAAATTTTTTTTATTTAAAAGAACATTAAATTATATGAAAATTAATGCATAGTATAATCACTCTCGGATTCAATTAGGGCCTCTACACAGCACCTCATGCTTCTTACCAAATTAGCCACATATTCTTTAGGCAATTGATTCCAATCTTTGGTTATTTGCGCCTTCAGAGTAATAAGCTTTCTAATTTTTTTTTTGCCAGGTTTATTTTCATAAGTTTCCAGACATTTTCAATCGGGTTTTGGTCGAATGACATCAACAGCCAGGAGAAAACTGCGACATTATTTTCCTCCTTTCATGCCTTCATGATTTTTGAATGGTGCTTCAGGTCATTGTCCTCCTGCAGAATTCAACTATCACAACCTTTGCCAAAAAGGTCCATGGCAGAAGGTAGAAGGGCCGTTTCGTACAGGGTAGTTATATATTATGCATTAAGATTTTGTGTAAAGCAGACTAACCTTCCAAAGCCTGAAAAAAAAAACTCCCCCATACGTGAACTTTCAACGGATACTTGATGGAATGGGTTATTTTTCTTGTCTGATGAACTGCCAAGCCTTTTTTAACCATTAATTCAAGTAAAACATACTCTCATCAGTAAAAATTGTGGTGTCCCAATTGAAATCCTTATGTTTCTTCGTCCACGAGAGCTATTTTTTCTGATGCTTCTTTCCGAGCAATGACTTCACAAGTTTTCTATAATAGCGGGCTCTACCTTTGCCAAGATGCCGTTAAATAGTGCGCACGTGAATGTCTATATTCTGTTTAAGAAACTCATAGCAGATTTCTGGCGCTAAAATATCAATGTTCTCTTTTGCCAGCTTCAAAATCTGGTTGTTTTGTCTTTGCGTCATAGCTCTTTGGCAACCTAACTTTGGTTTGTCACTTAGGTCTTTGCTTTCTTGCCACCTTTTTGCCCATTCTCTCACTGTTTTTTTGTCACAGTGAACCTGCTTCGCTGTCTCACAAAATAAGAGCTTGGGGCCCTTTAGGTGGCTGGTTAAAAGGGTGATTTTATATTGTTTATACAAAGGAAGAGGCATATTTTGATTGAAATTTAGCGTATAAGCAGTGTGGGTATTTTTACTATATACAGTGTCCGAAGAAGTTTAGTATGATCTGCATACTCAATGTCCCTTGTCTGTATGAAATTTCAAGCTTCTATGCAAGAAATTTCGAAAATTACAGGTGCAGAGAAACTTTTGTCAGGACTGTATTAAATTTTTCAGAGAGCTATTCTCTCTGACACCTAATTTACAAGTATTGGCTTATCTAGTTGTTTAATGAATACCTATGTACAACCTGCTATAGTAAGGTTTATCTCCATATTAATTTATCTTGCAAACAAGTTCATCAATATTTCATCAAATAGTTCTTATAGCCTGTCAAAACTACTAATTTGTTTTCTATTATTTTACTCTATGCCCACCTTTTATTCAACTCAACACTTCATTTTTCGCTATGATTCCCATCTTGTATCAGCTTCATTTTTTTGTTTTTTTTCTCTGTAGGTCTTATCAATTAGAAATTTGCTCACTTTTTTCTTTTTTTTTTCTTTCTTTTCTCTTGGTATCTATACTAAAACCATGCTTTTCTTTTTCCATTATACTATTTCTCTTCTCCTAGTTTTGCACTAATTTATATCTTTCGACCCAAATCTCTTTATATACTTTTTTTATCCATTTTTTCCAAAACCTTACTACATCAGAAAATTTTTTTAGCTGATTAATAACGATTATTAACCAATAATCAATGATCATCGATCAAAAAATATCAATAATTATCGGTATGAGTGATTATAATTGATTGTTAAACTCTAATCGATAATCATCTAAAGATTAAAAGTAATGACTATCATAAATAATGTTTATCTAAAACGATAGTCATCATTATTTAGCTAATAAATTTTTTTTAGGTTTACTCTTTGACCAGGTTGGTGATTTCAACTGTACTTTGCTTGTAACTTCTTCTCTTTAACCAGGTAGGTGATTTTAATTGTACCTAAGTTTACAATTTGTTTCCTTTAACCGGGTAGATGATTACAATTGTACCTACACTTACAAATTTCAATTTTTTGTTCTCTTCAACCAGGTTGGTGATTACATTTGCACCTATGCTTACAAATTTCAATTTTTTTTTCTCTTTGATTGGGTTAGTGATTTCAACTGTACTTCACTTATAGCTTCTTCTCTTCGACCGGGTAGGTAATTTCAACTGTACTTCACTTGTAACTTCTTCTCTTCGACCGGGTTGGTGATTACATTTGCATCTACTCTTACAAATTTCAATTTTTTTTTCTCTTTGATTGAGTTAGTGATTTCAATTGTACTTCGCTTATAGCTTCTTCTCTTCGACCAGGTAGATGATTTCAACTGTACTTCGCTTATAACTTCTTCTCTTCGACTGGGTTGTTGATTACATTTGTTCCTATGCTTACAAATTTTAATTTTTTTTTACTCTTTGATCGAGTTAGTGATTTCAATTGTACTTTGCTTGTAACTTCTTCTCTTCGACTGGGTAGGTGATTTCAATTGTATCTACACTTACAAATTTCAATTTTTTTTACTCTTTAATCGAGTTGGTGATTTCAACTGTACTTCGCTTGTAACTTCTTCTCTTTAACCAGGTTGGCGATTACAATTTTACCTACGCTTACAAATTTCAATTTTTTTTAAATTTGATCAGGTTGGTAATTTCAGCTGTACTTTGCTTATAATTTCTTCTCTTTGACCGAGTAGGTGATTACAATTGTACCTACATTTACAAATTTTGATTTTTTTTACTCTTTGATCAGGTTGGTGATTACAATTTTATCTACGCTCACAAATTTCAATTTTTTTACTCTTTGAATGGGTTGGTAATTTCAACTATACTATGCTTGTAACCTCTTCTCATTTGTACTTACACTTACAAATTTCAATTTTTTTTACTCTTTGATTGAGTTGGAGATTTCAGCTGTACTTTGCTTATAACTTCTTCTCTTCAATCGGGTAGGTGATTACAATTGTACCTATATTTACAAATTTCAATTTTTTTTAATCTTTGATCGGGTTGGTGATTACAATTTTACCTATACTCACAAATTTCAATTTTTTTACTCTTTGATCGGGTTGGTGATTTCAACTATGCTTTGCTTGTAACTTCTTCTCTTTGACCGGGTTGGTGATTACAATTTTATCTATACTTATAAATTTCAATTTTTTTTACTCTTTGATCAGGTTGGTGATTTTAACTATACTTTGCTTGTAACTTCTTCTCTTCGACCAGGTTGGTGATTCTATTTGTACCTACATTTACAAATTTCAATTTTTTTTACTCTTTGATTGGGTTGGTGATTTCAACTATACTTTGCTTGTAACTTCTTTTCTTCGACCAGGTTGGTAATTACAATTTTATCTACACTTACAAATTTCAATTTTTTTTACTCTTTGATCGGGTTGGTGATTTCAACTGTACTTCGCTTGTAACTTCTTCTCTTCGATCAGGTTGGTAATTACATTTGTATCTATGCTTACAAATTTCAATTATTTTTACTCTTTGATCGGGTTGGTAATTTTAGCTGTACTTTGCTTATAACTTCTTCTCTTCAACCGAGTAGGTGATTACAATTGTACCTACATTTACAAATTTTAATTTTTTTTACTCTTTAATTGGGTTGGTGATTACAATTTTACCTACGCTTACAAATTTCAATTTTTTTACTCTTTGATCGGGTTGGTGATTTCAACTGTACTTTGCTTGTAACTTCTTCTCTTCGACCAGGTTGGTGATTACAATTTTATCTATATTTACAAATTTCAATTTTTTTTACTCTTTGATCGGGTTGGTGATTTCAACTATACTTCGCTTATAACTTCTTTTCTTCAACCGAGTAGGTGATTACAATTGTATCTACATTTACAAATTTCAATTTTTTTTACTCTTTGATTAGTTTGGTGATTACAATTTTACTTACGCTCACAAATTTCAATTTTTTTACTCTTTGATCAAGTTGGTGATTTCAACTGTACTTTGCTTGTAACTTCTTCTCTTCAACCAGGTTGGTAATTACAATTTTATCTACACTTACAAATTTCAATTTTTTTTACTCTTTGATCAGGTTGGTGATTTCAACTGTACTTCACTTGTAACTTCTTCTCTTCGATCAGGTTGGTGATTACATTTGTACCTATGCTTACAAATTTCAATTATTTTTACTCTTTGATCGGGTTGGTAATTTTAGCTGTATTTTGCTTATAACTTCTTCTCTTTAACCAGGTAGGTGATTACAATTGTACCTACATTTACAAATTTTAATGTTTTTTACTCTTTGATTGGGCTGGTGATTTCAGCTATACTTTGCTTATAACTTCTTCTCTTCGACCGGGTTGGTGATTACAATTGTACCTATATTTACAAATTTCAATTTTTTTTACTCTTTGATCGAGTTGGTGATTTTAGCTGTATTTTGCTTATAACTTCTTCTCTTTGACCAGGTAGGTGATTACAATTGTACCTATATTTACAAATTTCAATTTTTTTTACTCTTTGATTAGGTTGGTGATTTCAGCTATACTTTGTTTATAACTTCTTCTCTTCAACCGGGAAGGTAATTTCAATTATATCTATGCTTACAAATTTCAATTTTTTTTACTCTTTGATCAGGTTGGTGATTTCAATTGTATCTACACTTATAAATTTCAATTTTTTTTACTCTTTAATAGGGTTGGTGATTTCAACTATACTTTGCTTGTAACTTCTTCTCTTCGACCAGGTTGGCAATTACATTTGTATCTACGCTTACAAATTTCAATTTTTTGATCAGGTTGGTGATTTCAGCTATACTTTGCTTATAACTTCTTCTCTTCAACCAGGTTGATAATTTAACAAGTTTCTTTAATTTATAATTATACTAAACTGGTTAAATAATTGAATTACAATATAATTATTTTATTAAATATAAAAATTATATAAAACTATAAGTATATATTTTATTTAAGATAATATAAATAAAAACAATTTTATTATTAATTACATAAATATTTGATTTGTGGATAATCATTATTCATTGCGAAAACATTTTTCTGACCTATTTTTATTAAACCACTTAAAAAAATTTTTTTTGCCCATTAATGAATATACTAATTGCAAAAATAGAACTAAAAAAGAACCCACAAATTTATTTTTATGATATTCAAAGCCCTTAGCTAATAAAAATTTGAATATAATATAAACACTTGCATCGCACATGATTTCAGATGATTTTACTCTAATATGAATCTTTGTAAAAATAATTAATATAGAGTGAAACTTTATTTTGATAGGAATGTTATTGAATTGCAATATAAAAATAATTGAACAAACCAGTGTTTTGAATTCAAACAGGCTTCAATGAATGCTTATATTATTTACATTAACGTAGCTAGCTCTCTTACTAATGAAAAAAAATATAAAAGCAAAAGCCTAAAAAAAAAATATATACAGAATGACCAACATTAATAAGAAAGAACACCATTAATATGATATAGTAAAACTAAAAAAGAATTAATTTCTTTTTTTATTAAGTTTATTTTCTTGATCACGGAGATGCTATATAATATAACAAGCAAAAATTACAATCAACTCTCTTAGGTTAAAAATCAATTTTAAAGTTGTAACTCGACCAATCATTACCTAATTCAGAGAGTGTAAAATTAGTAATACCAAAGGAGAATAGGACATTGGTATATCAGTTATTATTTAAATGATAAACCAATGTCTCATTTCTCTTGGCATCACTCTATATGTGTTTATTAATGAAGAGATCTCTTATATACACGTTTTATGGTACTTAAATAACATATTTAGCTCTGGTTAGAAATCAGACATCATATGCAAAAAAAACATAACATGAGATAAAAGAAGACAAATAGTGAATTAGCAGGACATTTAGCAAGGTAATAGGAATTATCTTCTAAGACTAGTTATCCAGGGCAGATTCGTCACGCTATTATGAAGCAGAAAAATAAGTCATAGAAGTTAAATACAAGAGAAGGCTTTATCTTTGTACCCAATATTTGTATTGGCTGATGACTTTAGATAACCTGTCATAGATTATTTGATCATATAGTAGTGATATGACTTTATGATAATTTTTTTAATATGACCTATATAACCTATGACCAAGGGCATAGCAAAAAATAATATAATTTAGGTCATCGGCCAACAAATATCCTTTCACGAATCTGTGGTACGATCTGAAATTTTTTTGATGTCTTCTAAGCATTTGAAAAATAGAAAAATTGCATATCATACTGAAGATTTTTGAAAGAACGCTTAAAAAAAGATTCTATATTTACTGTCTACTTGGTATAAAACATAAGAGAAAGAATAGAAAATTTAATTAATGAAGAATTCTACTAGTGCACTATACTGGCTATAATAAACTTAAGAATTAAATATATTTACTATTGTTGTTCAGTTTAATTTCTAGCAGTCTTGTTAATTAAGAGCTTGAATCCATTTTTCTTTTAATAGTTTACTATCAATACATCGTAAGCCATTTCTGTTAATAGAAGCAATATTAAATGAATATTAGAGATTTTTAAATTCAAACATGTTAGTTGCTGACCTACAACTAAATTTACAGATTAAATTGTAAAAATATTAATATTAGGTGTATATTTAATTTTTTTATATTCAAAATGAGCATGTATAGACCCGCCTTATAAACTTATTCCAATGCAAGAATAAATGGTCACATTCTGAAATATTTAATGATCGCTTTGTTATTTTATTTGTTGAACTTAGTAAATAATAATTCTTGAAATCTCGCTATCTGCACATAATGATAAATAAATTAGAAAACAGAGTATTTGGCTTCTTTTATTAAAATTTAGAATATGGTATTTAATTTTAATTAAATACTATTCTTACTTGTTCTTTTATCTATTATCCATTTCTTGATAAGTACAGTAAACTCCATAGGTACATCCTCTATAAGTACACATCTTCTCTAAAATTCTGTTTCAAAATATATGACCTTTATAAATAACACATTGTTAAAGTTTGGTGCACTTATAGAGGTTTTACTGTCTCAAAAAATCATAAACACTTTAGTATAACTCTTTACTCTATTTGATTATGAATACCTTAAATAAATATCTTGAGGTTATTAATTTATTTGTATTAATAGGTGAAAAGAAAAATTTTTTTGTACTAATCGAAAATCAAGGTAACACATATTACACAAAAAATTTATTAGAACATGTAAATGTTTACTAAATATTCATTCATTTTGTCAAATCATGAAATTATATAGACTGTTTTGTAAATGCTTTCTATTGGTATGCAAGTATATTGCTCTAATAATTTTAATTTAGGGCATCCCCATATTCTTCTTCTTCTTACCAACATACAAGAGCGAAATCAAACTGTTCTCTTTCTTCGGCTCCGAATTTGAGAATTAGCAAAACCTTGGAGAGTATAAATATATATTAGTATATTTGTAAGGTATTTTGAATAAATATTATGAATAGTCTATTTCTTACCACGCCGTACCAATCTATTTTATTTCTTTCTTCATTTTCGGCATTGACTAACACATTAGAAAACATTGGCTTTCTATAAAAACTTTTAGTTGTGCGAATAATATCACCATCATCCAAAGTAACAGAAGAGAACATTTCTATTTGGCTATTATTGTGGATTGACATCATAGATTCTTCGAAAAATTCACTAAGACTTGCTAAGAGGTTTTGAAATCCCTCAATTTGTTGAGGGCCCATATCTTTTTTATTTTCTTAAAGAAAACTATCTAGTTCTCTTAATTTTAGTGTCTACAAATATTTACCATATCCTTTTTGTTAATTTTTCTTGACAGCTTCTTTTTTAGTTAGTTTTTGTTGGTTTATCTAATTAACAATCAACCATTAGTGATTATACTAAAGAAAAAATCCATACTACTAATGCTTACGGATTTTATTATCTGTTTCATAAAATCTTTTTTATTGGACATATGATATGGATTTTTAACATAGAATCTATGGAGTGTCTCGTAAGTCTCCGTAGTTATGCCATTTATTACTCTATATTTTTGAATCGCAGGCACTATATGATAGCACCAAGTATGAAGTTTTGGAAGCTATAAACCACTGGCAGAGTAAGATGAAAAGATGGCAACAAAGTCTTGAGCCCAGTCGATAATAAATTTCTACAAAAAAAGTTGAACTATTAAAAATCAGCATATACCAAGGTAAATCATTTTGTTTATACCTGAAGCTGATCACATGAATCATATGTAAAAGACTCTTCCCGAGTAGCTAGATACATTTGAAGAAATTGGTAAAATACATTGCTCAATCTTTCATTACTTATTCTCGACATTTTATGCGTTGTATATAGGTTGTCAAGTGCAAAAATAATTATTTTCATTATATTTCTCAACTCATTGGCTATTATACGCGTTAGATCTGAGATATTTTTTATAATTTTAAGACTGTGAAATCTGGGAATAGATGATAATCGTTGTTCAAAGGTTTGAACAACATTGCCTCCACAATTTTCCTGTAAAAGGTCTTTCGTAAAATCTAGCATATATTTAAATAGACCAAGGTCTAACACATGCATTCGATCTGGTACAACTGCTTAATAAATATTGAAGCTACTAATAATTTTAATTGCTTTAGTAATTTTAAGTTAGAATATCTAACAAATATTTATATTATTATACCTTATTTTCCAAAATAGATTTTTTTCAGAATGAATCGAATTATTATGTGCTTGGTCTTTATCTGCTATCAACCATTTCATATTATCGGTTGTTCTATAAGTAATATTAGTTAAGCTTGTATTATTAAGGTTTTCTCTTGATACTAAACAGGTTTCATACAGTTTTTTGGTGAGAGATGATTGATAGGTGTTTGTAAATTTATTTGCTTCAGCCATATCAGAATGATTACTGAGATTCATGCGATAAACGTAACTACTTCACCACAGACAACAAAGCTAAGTTCTGGTTCATCAATTATCGGCTTGAGAATAATTGCTAAACATCGTTGAAAAGTGTCTCTGTGTAACTTTTAAAAATCATTGGAGGACTTCATTTTAGTATCTTTGGCTTTTAATACAGGAAAATATCCGATTAATGCTTTAGATTCTGGTTTGTTTCTTTGAGAATTTGGAATATTACCGAGAGAT